CGGGAAGCAGAACGTTTCGGCCGCGAGTTTCACATAACGCGGCTGTCTCACTTTCGACACGGTCGCGGATCGGATGTCCGTGCACGTGCGAAGCAAATTGCGAAGAAATATCAAAGTGTAAGATCCTTATGTGATTCCGAGAGTAAGGTGTAACGATGGTCCGAGAGACACCTAAAGTAATTTCTCGCGAACGCGCGGATTAGGTTGTCGACCCAAGGAAAAACCTACGTTCTCTGTCGTCCAGTGAAAGGGCCGATCGGGCCGACGATCGCCGGCGAGTGTGAAGTCAGCACCCCAACATTAAAATTCCACAGTTCTGATTAGAGTTCCCGTTTTGAGGAGACAAAGAGTTTCCCATAGTTTACAACAAGAGTTCTGCTTAATAATCGTTTTTAATTTAAAAAATGTAGTGCTTCTTATCAAAATTTAAATTAAAAATTGTTATTAAGCAGAACTCTTGTTATAAACCATACAGGGAACTCTTTGTCTCTCCAAAATAAAGCGAAAATTCTAGTCAGAACTATATGGAATTTTATTGTCGGGGTACCATAAACTTCACACACGCCTGTCGCCGCGAATGAGAAGGGCAAAACGCGAAATAACAAACGATCCGAGCGTAGTACGGAGTAATTTTATATTCGAACGACGAACCGCGGGCGTACAAAAGTCTATTCACCCAAGTCCCAGATGACGCGGGGCTGACTTTTAACGCGCGTCGGATTCAAAGGAGGAGGCGAAATGTGTGTATGCCGAAAATAGATCGGCGCTTAAAGTTAAGGTTCGCCGCGTTAAATCGACTCGCGGGTCTTTCCACCCGTGTGTGCTCGTGTTTCCCGCTCTCTTTTTATTGTCCTCTCCGTTCTTCGCCGCGCCGCGCGATTCGTTTCTCCCCCCCCCCTCCCCCCGGGTCGGGTTTATTATTACACACACGGCGTCCACATATATTCCGGCCTCTCTTTCTCTCGCTCTCACCTTCCGTCTTTTTCCCCGCGTCGCGTCTGGACCGCAAGCGGAGCTTATTAAGGCTCACTACTACCGCGGACAAACACCTTGAAAGCCCTGAACTTCAGGACCCGAGAGAGGATGACCGACGCTCAAGGTCGATCCGAATCCGAACCGGTTCTTCCTCGAGAAAGATTCGGTGAGGAATACGTAAGATCTCCACGCCTCCGCAATTTAATCCATTAGCCGTCAACAAGAGTAATACCCACGGGGCCTTTGATAAGGCGTGAGTTATAATAATAACGATATTTGAATTACTTTATATCACTGTACATCTTATTTCACCAACGTTTGATCGTTGCAATTATAGATAAATCTTTTTGTAACGGTCAAGGTTTGATTATGATCTCGCTGCCAAATGCCACTCCATGCAGCAACACAAAAATATAATAACTTAACAATTAATTTAAAACACAATGGTTTAAAATTTTATAAAATTAACTACAGCGAAAGTTAAGAATGATGAAGAAGAGACGGCTCTCTCTTGTGCTCTCCTCGTATAGAAAAACCTCTTCGAGGCGAGCCGGAATCTCTCGTCGCAAAGAGTCACAGCTCGTGCTGAAAATAGGTCTCGCTATGGGTCCCATAAATTTCAGCCGCTTTGGTGTGTAACCTGCGCGAAGCGAAACCGCCGCAGAGTGAAACTTCTGACAGCACCTCCGGTGAAAAGGACGTGACACAGGCAGGAAATGTCGCGCAAAGCGCACGCATGCGTGCGCGCCTCTCCTTTTTTGTTATCGTTAAGATAAGAGCGCTTTTACTATGCGGGTTTCGTGCGATAGCGACACGTGCCCCGGAAATCGTCGTTGTCCAATCGGCGATTGCGATCGAGAACTGCCACAAGGCGACGTCGCTTTGTAGCGTATAGATTGGAGTTTGGTAGAATAAAAATTAATTATCAAATCTAATTCACTGTAAGCGTAATAAAAATTCACGAGTTAGGGGAAACACAAGTCGCTATAGACTGACGTGAGAAGCGCTTGATCGACACAGGCCGAGAAATGGAACATTCTTAGAAATCTTTCTCGCGGTCTAGAAAAATTTCGCTCGTTGTCTCGCAAATTCTACGTTGGCGAACAAACGCACGTCCTCGTTCGTCATAATTTTACGGACTCGCAAACTCATTCGCTATTCCGTGCGCGAATGTAAAATCCGCAAGAAAACGATGGTCCCCCGCGTGGTGAAAACCCGTCTCTTTCTCTCTCTCGTTCTTTCTCTTTCTCTCCCCGCAAGAGTGTCGACAAAAGGCTAACCGGTTTCCGGAAATGGGTTGGCGTCGTCCTCGACAAGTTAAACGAGCGTGTGTGCGCGCAAACCGCGAACACGAGAAAATAAGAGGTTTACCCAATCACCCAGATAACGCTATAAGAGACGATAATTGCAGCGTGGCGAGCGGTCTTCCAAAATTCGATTAAATCTAGCAACCAGACGGCAGATATGTTCTTAATTTAGAGCTGAAAAAAAGAAGAAAAAAAAAACAAAAAAAAACAGATTTTATTCAAAGAACAGATATTATGCAGAGGTACAGTTAATTAATTCATACCCCCTCAAAATGCGCGTATAACGTTATAACAATAAATCGATCGAGAGAACTTCACGACAACAGGCGTTCGGCAGCGTCGTTGTCCTCGACGGAATTTTTCGACGCAACGTACGTATTCTCGTCGCGCGTGTCGCGCGTATTTTTGCGCGGGACCGACCTCTCTCCCGTCAAGACGTCTCGTCGGATTTTTTTTTATTCATCGAACGTCCCCGCGACTGGTCCCAAGGACCCCGTTTTTTCCCCTTGACTCATCGCGCGTTATTACGTCAGCGTCCCCGATTCGGCCGCCGGTGCGCGATGCAGAGAGCCGTGCGGGTGCAGAGAAATGCAGCAGGACTTTCCGTTTCGTGCGATCGTATCAGCGCGGCGCGGCGCGGCGCGCGCGCGATCGATTCCACCCTCTCTTAATCAAATAAAGAACATTACGCTAATCGGAAGTTTCCGGCGAACGACCTTATCGCTGGTGAGAAACGTTATGAGTCGGCCGGTCGATCTGTCATCGCCGAGAAGACATTCCGTTTTCCTTTCAGACCAGACGGTATTCGTACATTTTGTATGCAGAAGAGGCAAAAAATTACGGCAAGCCGCACGTAAATGGCATTTCTTATCTGGACTGCTTTTTCGACGTGCGACGGCCGGTAGACGCGGTTTAAACGCGTTGTCTCTCGCCTGTCTCTTTCGCGTGACTCATCTTGTACGAAGGATAAAAAAGAAAATTACAAAATCGAAGCAGCTTGCGGAACGTACGTGACTGGCTTCTGTTTATACACTCTCGATAGCTTACGAACATTTTTCGATCGCCGGCGAACCACGACAACGGTCCTCTTTGTTGCGAGCCGCGATTGATAATTCCTCTTCGCTGTAACACCGCATACACTCATGTATCGTTCTCTGTGTGAGATACGCGCGTCGCGACCCGCATTCGCGATATACTCTCCTCCGATACCCGTCAAGGCGAGGGAAAATTGCTCGCCGAATGGAGGTTCACGACCGGTGTATCAGTGAGTCACATCGATTTCTTGCTTCCACGAAAGGCAGACTGCGGTTCGCGCCGAAGATAAACCGTCGTTTAATTGTCGATCTCGAAGGTCAATAATAGCGCGCGACGCGCTTTCTCCCTTTCTCTCTCTCTCTCCCTCTCCCTTTCCCTAACTCAGTTAGTCTTCTCTTTGTTTCGCGAATGTCGAATGTCGTAGGTTCCTTATTAGCGTTCATCGGACGGGTCAAAATTTCGTATTATGTATACCTACTCAGATTGTATCTGGATAAGTAATTAAATGATTTACGCGATCAGATTTCGCTTCTTGATACGATTTGACGTTAATAATAATTTCGAGCGAGCTTGTAAATGTGCCGAGTAACATTCGACGTGTCCTCTGGACGTCGTCGTCGCATTTTCGAGAATCGATCGATTTGGTCGAGAGATATATGCGAACGATTAACGCAACAATACGACGTAAATCGCATATCGCGATAAGAGTTGCATACGGAGAACATTACGCGATCGGATCTTACACAACGGCGGTACCGATAGCGAAAAAAGTCACGAATATTTTTATTAGTTTTCTGCGGGGACCTGCTATACGTGTCGTAGAAAGAGTAATTTGAGATTAGATTAGATTAGATACGTGGGGCTTTATTGCGGCACTTATCAGCGCTCTGTTATCGATTAACACCAGTTTCGCACCGATTAATCTACAAATGCATTTCGGCACATTATACGGTGGAACTATCTCTGAAACTCTGATTCGCGTAGATACGTTACGTGACGTCAAAGACATCTTGACGACAAAGATAATCTCTACTCTGCATTTTTCATTGTTGATTGTCAAATTGTAGCACACCAATTAATAATGCAATTGCATGTATAAAGCCCATCTTGATCAACACGACAAAATTATTGATTACAATAGTTTAATATAATATTTAATTCAGTTGTTACACTTTGGTTTGATGATAGCAAGTATTTGCAAAAATTTTATAATTTTAAGATTGCATTCTGTTTTTTGTATAGACGGAGTGTTAATTAAACGAAAGATGAAGACGACGATACGTAATTATCTTTCTAAAAATTTTTAATGCATTTGGAAACTCGCATTTGAATTAAGAATTTCGCGTTTAGTACGAACGTAGAAATTTTTTTCTTGATAAAGTTGTTGATTCAGACAATGAAACGAAACAAGCCCGTCGTTAATGCGAGTCGTTTACTAACAAGCGGCCCCGACAGTAGCAGCCATTCTTACGCAGGTTCTCCTCTCGGTACGTTTCGCTGTTAGGCGCCGTTTCGTTCCGCTATCAGTCATGTGGAGGATAACAAGAGGAGAGAGAGAGAGGAAGAGGGAGTCGACGTAGCCGATGGGCGATAGACGGAAGGTGGTGGTCACCGCCAGGTCATTCTTGAGCAGCAGTCGCAAGGTGGTTCCTCTGTTCTCCGGTCCCTCTTCGGTTGACATCACCGCGAAGCGAAATAAACGCGCGATTCTAGCTCTTCGCCGCCGTGTATACAACGCGCGAATTCGAGACACGTCGAATCCCATCGAAACATCGAAGTAATATCAATTTCCTCTTGTGATTGTGTGTTTACGTTAAGCATCGTCGGCCACGACGACGGACTGCCTTCTATCTGGTGACTCGCGAGCCTTCACGGCTGGATTTCACATTGCGCGGACGATTTCCGTGTCGTTGCAAAAGGAAAAGATTTCATTACGTGTAAAATTGAAGAGAAAGAGTAGATTATAAAATATATGAAATTTCTACAAAGTGAAAAATCTGTTATATTATAAGTAAATCTGATTGCGTTACGCGAAATTGAAAGGAAAAAACGGAGATGCATTGTTGAATAAAATAGAAGTGCACGTCGTGAAACTGAAAAAGATAAAGTACGAAATAGACGTATAAATTTCTCCGAAATAAATCTCTTGCGCGTCTATCCTTTTTTTTCGTTTATCGAGCATAAATTTAATTAGTTTTCTGAATGTCACTGCAGAGAAATAAGCTATTCTTTGGACTTTGTCGACGCAGCGAGATATTAAGGAGAGTGACACGTGGACCGCTTCAGAATTAAAAATCGCCAAGAATTTCGCTTATTATACTTCTGGAATCTTTCGTTATCTTTTGATATCTTATACAGATGATTGCATCGATAGAGTGTCATTAAATACATAGGTATATATAAATTCTTCGAGCAATAACACAACACTCGAGAAATATGATAAAGTTTTTTTTTAACAATAATATGAAGCTTTACGTAGAAATAGATTTTTTTTAATCTATAAATTTCTATCTATAAGCTCCTAACGATAAGACAATCCGATTAAATCAGATTTTTTTGCTCGCCGATTTGAAATTGTACAGTCATCTAATCTCTTCCGCTTAGATCCGGCAATATCAGATGTTGTGAATTTGCGAATTTGCGTTTATCTTATCTGACAAATTCGCGTTTATTCGAACCAGGTAGCGAGGACTAGACCGGAGTCGAAATTCGCGATCGCGATTAACACTGCCAAAACAAAGATAATCGAGTTAAGTTTTTTCTTCACTTGAATATCGCAGGTGCAAGCACCAGCACCGGAATCGTGGAAACATGGGGTGAGTTCGAAATTTCTCCACAGATTTCAAACAAATCGCAGAATTTACTATTTTTCGCGAAGGATGTCCCTTCGAATAAATTTTGTTAAATATGAAATGTCAAATTTGATTGTAGCTCATCGGAATTACATTAGCATCAGGCAGAAACTATTTATGACTCCTCGCTTTCGAAAATTCGTACGACGACTTGTATTATCGCGGGCCACGCGATATTTTTGCTTTCTCAACTTTCTCTCTTTTGTTTAATTTTGTTCGTATCTCTCTTTATCTATTCGGCGCATATAAAAATATTTGCCGAACGATCTATTGCCGACTCGTTCTATTATCTATGAGCGTTGAATGTTACGGACTTCGATATCTAATCTGAATCATTATGTTTGCAAGGCCGCGAGGCCGAATAAAACGACGACTTTATACACGCTACCTGTTAAATAAATTTTTAACGTTACTTAAAAATAGATGAAATAAAAAAGGAAAACCTATTAGAGCTTTTAAACCAAGTTTTTTAAATTTCATGGTGTTAATTTCTCAATGACAAATTATTCTTAAATTTTAATGACAAATGACATTGAATAAATATATTTGCTTTTTCAAGGAACTGAGTAAATTTATTCTATAAATATAATTTTATTTTCTTGTTATTGTCTTTATAAATTATAAAACTAGAAAATTCTGATCAGTCTAATCCTACTAATTAATAATAATAACTTCATTAATTGTGTATTGAAGAAAGTGTGACACAGCTGAAAGAAATAAAACATATATATGAAGTAGCACATGTAATAGACAAAGTAACAGTATAATATTGGCCGGAAACCTAAATCTAAACCTAAATACTAATTATAAATAGTTTGAACGCTAAGATATATTAAAAGAAATATTAATAAACGTAGAGTTGCAAATTATGAATAACAACACGAAAGCTCGTTACATATTGAAAAGTATTTAGGGGTAGCTCATTCTCTGGGACATTTGCAGCGTGGAGACAGTCGACACCGGGGGTGTCTTCAGAAAACCCGGCGCGAGACCGGAAGTTCTCAAGCACGAAGGGAAATTACCTTGGAGCATGGAGCGCGGATTGCACGAGCGTGACCGAGCCGGCGTACAGGACTTCGTCCTCTTGGAGGACTTCCGCAGCGAGACCGCTTTCATCGACAATCTGCGCAAACGATTCAAGGAGGATCTTATTTACGTGAGTCGCGTAATTATTAGCGCGAATTTAAAGAAAGAATTTCTGATTTATTTCATATTTAATTTATTAGACAGAGCAGGACATATTTTATCATCTTTTTCTGTATTTTTTATTTGTATGCATTGTTTATGATTTTAAAGAGAAATACATTTTAAGAGTTCGAAATCTCGTATAAAAAGATTTTACATTTTCATCTTATTTTTTCACATAAAATCACATAAACTTCCCAGCTATGATAATCGAGATGATGCATCACTCTATATATGCAGCTAAATATAGAAATGTTTAGAGCGGCGCAGTAACTTAAGAGAAATTTCTTATCTTTAATATTGCAGACATACATCGGTCAGGTACTGGTGTCGGCGAATCCTTATAAAAAACTGCCCATTTACACCCCGGAGACCATTCTTTACTATCACGGGAGAAACTTCTTCGAGGCACCCCCTCACATGTAAGCATCCACCATGCCTCGTTATACACGGTGTCCCTTAGCAAATTCGTTCAACTTTTGTCAAGTAAAAACGAGAAAAAATGCGACAAAATCCGGGCCACCCTGTATAAAGCAACTGAAATATGCAACGCATAAAATTTTCGTGAATTATAAAAATTCATTTTCGCAGTTT